GAATTATTTAAATTATTATAAATACGTGATTATTTTCGAAAATTAAAGTGGCATATAATTAATAATTTTGTATAATTTAATTAGTATTAATATTAATTGAATGATTTTAATTAGTATATATATATATGTAGATTAAACATCGCTTGATAGTATATATGACTAGAACGAATGGATGATTTTACAATTTAGATAAATGTATAAAGCCGCATCATAATAGGGGCATTAGTCTGTACTTGTTATAGTAAACTGTAGTACATTTCGTAATCGAGTTAGACATAGACAAAACAATATTATAGATCGGGTTGCATAACAGTTTAGTTTTTATGGCGATTCAAGTAGTCACGCCAAATTTAAAAGTAAAGGAACGTATTGTTTATGGTTTACATAAATCTGCTTGTAGTATTTTTTATATTTAATTAATTAACTATTATTATATATTTATTTTTCTATTATTAATCCGTTTAAAATAGCACAAGAATTCATTGCGAAATCATACAGACAATTAAATTAACATCACCATTTACAATCATTTGATGCTAAGAAAAACTATCAGTTAAAGCTCCTTGCCTTTATAACAGCAGGAATTTCTCAGAATCTCCAATTCCTTGAAAGTTTTTCCATCAACTACTCATCAAACACCAAATCTAGGAATTATCCCGAAGTCATCGATAGATACCTGAGAGGTGATTTCTAGTTTTAACGTTAAAATTGACTTTCAGCTCATGTTGACTGGACACTCGTAATTTACTTTCCAACAATTTTTTTTATGTTTATAAAATATTTATCATGAACCGTAGTTATTATCGATCGTTTACAAACAAAACAGAATCTATTTTATAGCAGTAACATTTGTCTGTAAAATTAATCATAGGAAATTCTCGTGACTAATACTCATATGCTATTTTTTTAACAGTTTATTTGATAAAATCGTCTTTGAATTATGTCTATGTATTTCTATATGTAGTCAAGATAATTTTTTTTTTTTTTTTAAATCTACAAGGTATAATTTTTATCTAAACATTATAATTCCGTTAAAAGTTAACGTTACAGGGTAGACATATGTAAAGTATTTTTAACTGTTTTATTAGTTTATTTTTAAATATAGAAACGAAAGAAATATTTAGGATAATTTTTGAAATTTTGACTGAATCGATTGATATACATTTGTTTTTGATATTTAGCTATTTCCAAGAATTTCGTATATAATTTATTATAATAAAGTAAAATTTATCTACAGGAATATTCAATATAACGTATTGTTTTAACTTATATTGATATTTATTATCTTATTTTAGCATTTACATTCATGTTAAAATAGTTCTACTGCACATAACTGCTGTCTTGCAGTGAAGTAAGATTATCAGGNAAACAAATAAAGAATACCGGGAAAGACCAGCAACAACGTTGCAGCTATTTTTAAAATATAAATTTTTAAGAAAAATATATTTAAAGTAACTTTAAAAGATGTTTTTTTCTTGTGTACTGTACTTAAACCAAAACTTTAATATCAAACATGGACTTTTTTTCATGTTAAAATAGTTCTACTGCACATAACTGCTGTCTTGCAGTGAAGTAAGATTATCAGGCAACAATCTTTATTACTTTATTTTTTGAAAAATGTAATAGTCAGTTCCCTCGAGTGATTTAAACATCACCGTAAATGAATTTATTAAGTAATATGTGTTTTATGACTTTTATAATAATTTTATCAAGAAAATTCATTTATTTTATCGAATAAATTCAGAGCCACTCTTTTTGCAACTGCATATTTTTCTGGTGATTTAAACAACTTTCCTATTTTGTTATATTAAACTTCACTAAATCACTAAACTTATCGATTTATTTAATAGTAAATTCACGTAATTCTCTAACAAAATAGCTGAAAAATTAAAATAGAAGCGCACCTAAAAGTGCTTAAATCTTATTGGAATTTATGAAAATTGTCCAACTTGAAATTCTAGTTTTATTATTTCATTTGTAAAATTGAGAACTAGATATAAAAATATATTTCAGTTTCTCGAGAATATTTGAATAATGCAAATTTTAAAGCACTTTCAATCTTATTCCAACATCCAAAGTAAAGAAGAAATTTGTCATTTCGATAATATTAAAAAATTTTTGTTTTAATAACTTAGAAATTTATTTTAAAAGTAAAAAATGCTTGTTATTATTTAAAATCATTCCACTGTATTAATTAGTTGAAAATTTATAATTTTTTATAAGTAATTTTTATTATTCCTGCCATTAATTATAATGCACTCAACAAATATATAGATCTATATTTTTTTTCTGAAAATTTTGTTTTATTATCGATTATTTAATATTTCTTTAGACATTTTTTTCCTTTTCTTATTTCTAAAGTACATATATTAAACAAACATCTTGAAATCATCAATAAAAGGTTTAAAAATCTATTTTTATTGATGATAAAATGATCTAGATTGGGGGAAAATATTTTTTTCTTTTTTAGCAACATATACTTGATCTAACTTTTAGTGAAAATTGTCCTTATTTTATACACAAACTGGAGACTTATTTTTTTATTTTTTTAAAATTTAATATAACCCAATACATTTTTTTTCACACTAACTCTGTTGCTGTCTTTCACCGTTATAAAATCATGTGAAATATTTGTTACATATCAACTTTTTTTTTATTGTATTAAATTTAAAACACTTAAACTCACAACATACTGAAAGCATGTTGTGAATTATAGATAATGATATTGTATTTAAAATAGAAAAATAATTTACACATTTCTTCAAATACCTTAAATAAAAAAATTGTAATAAATGAATCATTAAAGTATGAAAATATACAAATAAAATTCAAATTATGCATGTTTTATTAAATCTTTAAGTTAAATTATTACTTACTTAATTATTCTAATCATTATATATATATTATTCAGCAGTTTTAGTGGATTAAAATTCATACTTGTGTATTGATTGAAGAAATGAAGTGAAAGTTTAATTCCAGAAGTTTTATTTTAATTATATGTAGACTATTCAGTTGTGTAAATTATCATTACAAACAGTCATGTATAATTTAATAATAGATATTACAGAAATCTAAACAGGATTAATATAGCTATAATGTGTTAAACTTGTTAAATGTATTAAATTTAAATTTAAATGTATAATCAGTTTTTTAGTTTTGTTTATTGCAACAGTTAATGATTAATTTTGTTTTAAATTTCATTGAACAGAAAAATTAAAATTTTAAAATGAAAACTCGATTAAAATTCCCTGGAAATTATTAAACATTACTTTTTTCTTATTTTATACATCATCTATTTAGTTTTTGTGTTCAGTAAATCAGCTTCTTATCAATATTTTGAGTAAGATGTAACATGCTTTATTACAATGGCCAAGAAAATAAAATAAAAACAAAAACTTATTGATGCATATTTTAAAGATTACATTTTAAGCTATCATAAAAAAATATTTTTAATTTTTAAGTTTTACTTTCCTGGCTGTTATGAATAACAGAAGGAAAGTATGGCGATCGGTCAAAAAATAACCTCCTCCAAGATTTTTACACTTTTGGATTTAAAATATTGAAAAGTCGAGAAATGCAAAAAAGTTAGGTGTTTATTCCTGTGTCTTTCTGGATGTTAGCCTGTGTGCTTTCAGGCAGACATTATTTTTTTCCCCATCCACTTTGAAGCTTAATAATTCCTGTACGTTTTGTCGAAAATTTATGAAATTTTGCAGGCATATTTATATATTACGAGGAAATGTTTCTAGAAATTTTCAGGAAAAATGGACCATTGATTCGGAAGATATTATCTCTACTTCCTTAATATCTTCTAAACCAATCTGGAGTCTTATAAAGATAATGGCTACAATTATTAGGGATGAAAACAAATAAAGAATACCGGGAAAGACCAGCAACAACGTTGCAGCTATTTTTAAAATATAAATTTTTAAGAAAAATATATTTAAAGTAACTTTAAAAGATGTGTACTTAAACCAAAACTTTAATATCAAACATGGACTTTTTTTTGTCTTGCTCTGAATTGAGAAGAGAAGTTATGATTACATTTTTCAAGTGTTTGAAATTTTTCAGAATAATTTTAGAGAAATAAAAAGTTTAAACAAAATATCTGTTGGTTAAAATAAAAAATATTTTTCAAATTTAGTTGTTGAAATTAAATTTTCAAACTTTGTAAAGTATATCAAAACAGATTATAGTTTGTGATATGAAGAGGTAAACTAATTAAATGGAAATTTTAATTAGTTAATGAAAAAATAATAATAATGAGTGAACATCATACCTACTGAATGGTTTATGAAGAATGACGACGTTAATATATAGAGGCTTAGAGCTACTTTGTTTGATAATATAACAATACTTTTATTAGAAATTTAAGTATCAGTCTATTTTTGAGTAGTTTAATTAATTGAAGCTGAAGATTATCAATTAATTAAAAAATGAAATATCACTGAGTGCCTTTTAAAATGTCTTATGATTAATTTTTATGTAAAACGGATATAATTTTTTTTTGTATTTAAGTAAATCTGCATTATTTTCAATACGCTATAAAAGTTTTAGCAAAAACACATTCACTTTTAAACAATTCTTCATTTAATATATATGAAAATAAACCTCAAGAGAGAACCCATTTCATTTGGTGGATTGCATTTTTCCTTTACGTAAAATTTAGGAAAATCAATACTAAAAATGGCATTTTTTTGACATTTTTCCGAATATAAATTGTGTGCCGACAATGCCATTTACATGTTATTTTAAAAGCCTTTGATTAAAATATTTAATTTAAATTTTGTCCATAAGTTTTTGCATTGGAGATTCATTTTAAAAATTTAATATGCATATAATTATCTAAGCAGAAAATTTATCCATCAAAATGTCTTAATTTTGTATTTATTATTACTTTTTAAACTTAACTAGAACGACAGCTTGTTCATTAACATTTAATTACGTTTAGCTTTTCATATTTGAAGTTTCCTTTAAAATTATTGTCGTTCGATTATAACATATTTCTTTTTTTAAGTATCAGTAAGAACGTATACGTTTACTGTGCGTTGTAAACAAAATATAAGCATATAATGAATACATAATAAGTAACACGTACAGAATTATAGATGTAATTATTACAGCAAATCACTCGAGAGCTTCCGTGCATGCCAGCATGGCGATAAGCCAAAGTACTCCTGTTGCTTACCTATGATGTCAGAGACACCTTCTCTTTCATTGGCTCTTTACTCGACACTTATAAAAGTACCATTATCCGATCATCACATTTACTAATGTCGATTTTGCTTTAGACACTTTTACGGAGTCGAAAATCGTTTAAAAGTACTTAAACATTTTTCCTTCGTGGCTTTTTATTCGAGGTTGCTTTCTAAAGTATCGTATACAAGTGCCAGAGTGGTCTATATTTAGTCATCATTAGGTCTCTATCAACATGTAAAATTAAATGTACTTAGTTAAATAAGCGTCCTTGATCTAGCGAGGAGATGGAATTGGAAAGAATCCGTACTGATTTTTCTGATAATGGAGAACATTAACCTTTTTTCTTGTTTAGGAGATAAAAATCGTGCAGCAGAAGGTAGGTATGGAAGGAATATCGACTTAAAATACTATAATTTTAAATTTATATTATGAATCCTTCACGTCAAACTCTTTGAAGACGATCTACCAGTTGTTTCCAGTTGTTAAAGAAAGTTGGAATAAATCCAGATGGTTAATATTAAAACGTTTCGTAAGTGTCGTGTTGTATTTTGTATGGATTATATGATTTATATTTAATAAATTATCGATATTTGTGTATATTTCGATCGGAAATAGATGTTATTCTCAATCATATTTATCATTTTATTTTGTTTATAGTGTTACTGTTATTAATATAAATAAATAAATTAGTTTCGTAATTATCATAGACGCCACTTGTTGGCTGATAATACATTAAAAATTCATTAAATGAATAATTTTATGAATGGTTTTCCAATAGAGTAAAATTTCGTTAATTAAATAAAGCGGAAAATACACAGCTCTAACTTCTGATAAAATTTTGTATTTGTACAGTACATTATTGCCGGTATTATTTTATAGTACTCTGGAGTGAAATGTAGCAGAACTATTTGCTATAAACTTCAGTTATAAATGATACTTGGCTCTGTATACCTGTAAAACTAAATAAATGTCGATGTATGTGCCTGTATATGTTGTTGATTTTGAATTCTGTTTCATAAGTTTTATTGGCAAGACTTTAAAACATCCATTAATTCTTAAGAAATACTTATTTTGTACAAACTCGATATATAAAATATAGTATATTTACGCAATGTAATTTTCGAACTTTTTTTTTAATTTATTAATAAATGAGATACATATACACTCATAATAAAAATATATTTTTGAATTAACTTTTGTTTCGCTATAGAATTAACAATAGGCCTATAGGCTATATGAGATATATTTAAAGATTTATTTATTTCACTTTATTTTATCTTTTAATATTAAAAATAAATTCTTAATATATTCAGAGATTTGTAATGCATTTTAGATGTTAAAGACTTTATTTGTGTGTGAAAATTGTAGAAACCAATCGCATCTAGACTTTTAATCAGATTGAATGTACGAGATAATCTAAGAATCGATGGCAATCTTTAATAAAATTTCATTATAAGTTTATAACGAATTGACCCAAAAAGTTTGTTAATTTTGTCAATTATTAATATTAGTTTTAAAGGTATAAAACGTGAAAATTTCAAACGGTATGCTTAATGAATAAATTGAGCATAAAAATTTATTCAAGTAAATTATGATTACTACGTGACATCTCTTTTACATATGTCAAAGTATCGTATAATTTATTTTCAGTTAATGGCTGTTTGAAATTCTTGATTTTACAAGTCATTCTTATAATTTACTTAACAACAGCACTTTAGAATTTTGCGTATTTATCGCTAATCAAGAGAAGTGATGAAAAAAAAATCAATTGAATATTTCTACCTCTCTTCAGTCGAATTAAAGAAATGTAAAATATTAAATGTTTATAAAAATAATTTTTCTTTTATAATCAGAAAAAAATGCCATTAAATTAAATATCTGCTTTTCAATCGAAGATGCGATAAAAATAGAAAATTTCATATTTTTATTAATTAAATAAATCTGTATATAAAAATTAATGCAATCTTATAAGAACATGAAATCCGTTTTTAAGCGAACTATTTTGAAAAATGATATTAAGTGTATTGAATTTTCATAATCCCGTCAAAGATATCAAACTAAATATTCATGTCGTCTGCATGTCTGAGAAAATATCTTATAAGTATGCTATTTTTGTTCGAACATTGCTCCGATTTTCTATTTTAGAAAAGGCGATAACTTAAATTCGAATTGTTATATAGAATTTTATTTATTTCTAAAAGTTTACAGAAATTTTCTAGGTTAGATCTATAATTAAAATATTTTAACGAAACATTTTTTATAGATTTCATTAAGCTAACACCAAATCTATCAATAATATATAAATTTTAATTAATAATAAATATTTATTTATATACGTGTAAATGAAAATTTGTCGCGAATTCGCTGTATTTACGAAATTCAAAAAAAAAAATTCTTAATAGAAAATAAGCGCAAGTTTAAATTATTTCTTGCTTTTTTTTTTAAGGGGAGGATCTCGATCCCGTTGGTGACCCGGGAGGTGTGAAGGGTCCGAAGTCCAAAACGAAGAGCCAATCGGATCTTTCAGACAGTTCCGACATGGATACTGGTTCTCGGCCGTCCACTCCTCATGCCCGGACAGTACCTTCGTCACCGAACAAGAAAATCCTGAGTTTCAAATCCAGCAAGAAAATGCACAGTGTTTGGTCGACGTTGAAGCGTTTGGCGCCTAATAAAATGAGATCGAGAAGCAAGGAGAGGCACAAGAACAATTTGCATTCTATCGGCAGATTAAGTTCGAGTCATCCCGACGTATCTTGCAGCAACCTGGCAGCTTTGGCTAAAGGAACTTGTGACGATTCGGCTCTTCCCATCGATAACGAAGATCTTGTAGACGCACCTAGTTTTAGCGACCCAACTATTCCAGACCAAATTGCTCACGAAGACCGACTGTGTCCAAGCAGAAATCTTCCAACGAAAGAAACAGAAAATCTGACGGATAGCGGTATTACCATCGACAGTATGGTAAGATTTTTTATATTTCTAGGAATATATTTATTATAATTTTACAATCAATTCATCAAAAAATAATTAATTAATTCTATTGTAAATTATTTTGATGTTTCCGTAATATATTTTATATCTGCTACGTTAGATAATAAATGACTAATTAAAACTGAATTATTTTTTTCTTCGTATATAAAAAGAAAAATAATAAAATGATGTTTGATTCACTCATTAATTTCATTTTGATAGTTCAAATAGTTAATTTACTATAGCTAAATGTTTAATCGGATGGTTTTGTAGTGCAAACTAAAGCCTACTCATNTTTAGATGTTAAAGACTTTATTTGTGTGTGAAAATTGTAGAAACCAATCGCATCTAGACTTTTAATCAGATTGAATGTACGAGATAATCTAAGAATCGATGGCAATCTTTAATAAAATTTCATTATAAGTTTATAACGAATTGACCCAAAAAGTTTGTTAATTTTGTCAATTATTAATATTAGTTTTAAAGGTATAAAACGTGAAAATTTCAAACGGTATGCTTAATGAATAAATTGAGCATAAAAATTTATTCAAGTAAATTATGATTACTACGTGACATCTCTTTTACATATGTCAAAGTATCGTATAATTTATTTTCAGTTAATGGCTGTTTGAAATTCTTGATTTTACAAGTCATTCTTATAATTTACTTAACAACAGCACTTTAGAATTTTGCGTATTTATCGCTAATCAAGAGAAGTGATGAAAAAAAAATCAATTGAATATTTCTACCTCTCTTCAGTCGAATTAAAGAAATGTAAAATATTAAATGTTTATAAAAATAATTTTTCTTTTATAATCAGAAAAAAATGCCATTAAATTAAATATCTGCTTTTCAATCGAAGATGCGATAAAAATAGAAAATTTCATATTTTTATTAATTAAATAAATCTGTATATAAAAATTAATGCAATCTTATAAGAACATGAAATCCGTTTTTAAGCGAACTATTTTGAAAAATGATATTAAGTGTATTGAATTTTCATAATCCCGTCAAAGATATCAAACTAAATATTCATGTCGTCTGCATGTCTGAGAAAATATCTTATAAGTATGCTATTTTTGTTCGAACATTGCTCCGATTTTCTATTTTAGAAAAGGCGATAACTTAAATTCGAATTGTTATATAGAATTTTATTTATTTCTAAAAGTTTACAGAAATTTTCTAGGTTAGATCTATAATTAAAATATTTTAACGAAACATTTTTTATAGATTTCATTAAGCTAACACCAAATCTATCAATAATATATAAATTTTAATTAATAATAAATATTTATTTATATACGTGTAAATGAAAATTTGTCGCGAATTCGCTGTATTTACGAAATTCACAAAAAGAAATTCTTAATAGAAAATAAGCGCAAGTTTAAATTATTTCTTGCTTTTTTTTTAAGGGGAGGATCTCGATCCCGTTGGTGACCCGGGAGGTGTGAAGGGTCCAAAGTCCAAAACGAAGAGCCAATCGGATCTTTCAGACAGTTCCGACATGGATACTGGTTCTCGGCCGTCCACTCCTCATGCCCGGACAGTACCTTCGTCACCGAACAAGAAAATCCTGAGTTTCAAATCCAGCAAGAAAATGCACAGTGTTTGGTCGACGTTGAAGCGTTTGGCGCCTAATAAAATGAGATCGAGAAGCAAGGAGAGGCACAAGAACAATTTGCATTCTATCGGCAGATTAAGTTCGAGTCATCCCGACGTATCTTGCAGCAACCTGGCAGCTTTGGCTAAAGGAACTTGTGACGATTCGGCTCTTCCCATCGATAACGAAGATCTTGTAGACGCACCTAGTTTTAGCGACCCAACTATTCCAGACCAAATTGCTCACGAAGACCGACTGTGTCCAAGCAGAAATCTTCCAACGAAAGAAACAGAAAATCTGACGGATAGCGGTATTACCATCGACAGTATGGTAAGATTTTTTATATTTCTAGGAATATATTTATTATAATTTTACAATCAATTCATCAAAAAATAATTAATTAATTCTATTGTAAATTATTTTGATGTTTCCGTAATATATTTTATATCTGCTATGTTAGATAATAAATGATTAATTAAAACTGAATTATTTTTTTCTTCGTATATAAAAAGAAAAATAATAAAATGATGTTTGATTCACTCATTAATTTCATTTTGATAGTTCAAATAGTTAATTTACTATAGCTAAATGTTTAATCGGATGGTTTTGTAGTGCAAACTAAAGCCTACTCATTTGTACAATTAATTTTTAAAAATTTAATTAAAATTAATATTTACTTTTTGAATTGATTATATAGTGAATACATTTTGTAAATTTGATAAATGTGTTTATAAAATATTTTGAAGAAACCACACGTAATTGAATCCTCATGAAAGTAAACGTATGTATATTTATCATTAGTTTATTTTAAAATTATATAACAAAAATATATAAGTTATATTTATAAATTATATAACTTATTTTTCTATTTTATAAGTTATATTTTTATCATCATTAGACTTTGAATCAAACGGATTGAAATATGCCAAGAAGTCTTGCCATAAATAAAATACTCGAAATTTTTTCCATAGATATAATTGAAAGAATTTTAAAAATTTGATTTATTTATTTTTCTGGTGTAAGTTTAAGTGAAATTTTAATAAATCGTTGACTTTCTAAGATGGAATTCTTACAGGTTTAGAAGTCATCACTCAATATAAGTTACGACAAAAATTCGATATTTATTATAATGTCCATTTTGATGAACAGTAATCTTCATATTTCATCGAATATAGGCGTTAGAAAAACATCTGCTCTAAAATTCTGTTTTAAAATCATTATGTTTATTGTTTCACGGATTAATTTCGAATATGAACTTTAAATTAGATGGATAATTTGTCTATAATTCGGATTTACAGCTTCGTATCGACATATTGAAATGAATTTTCTCGTTGACATAAAGACAACAGTTTTAATTTTTCGCTCAGTGCCTCATTCAAATATATTCAGATTAGGCTGTACCTGTTACGCAAATTATATTTCTACATAATATATTCGTATCTTGCGTGTATTTTCTTCTTCATTATTTTTTAACAAGCATCACATTGTTCCCAACGTCGATTGTCTGTCGCAGAACTTATTGGGCCTATTCAATTTTGTTAAAAGGTATTAGAATTTATGAAACGTTATAAAATAATGATACGATTTTTATGTCAAATAAATAATTTATTTTAATTAGAATCAAAACGAGCAGAACTTGGGATATGGTAGACTAATCGCCTATCAATAGTTGAATTATTTTATAATTAATTATTAAAATTAGCCTTAACACAGCCTGATAATCTTGTAGTTTGTTTGGCTTTAATACAAACGTGCCTTAATTTCTAAATGCTCACCCATAAATTTGTCTTTTATTGTTTATTAAAAAGAACTATGTCAGCAGAATCAATTCTGTTGACATGAATTTGTTCGGTATTTAATGCAAGTAAAGTAAGTTATATATATATATATCACTGTTTTCTGTGGTATTGAAGTTGGAAACTCCTTCACTTTTCATGTTAGGCTCTTCTGAATCAAAACTAATGTTGTTTTAGTCAACTAAAACTATGCACTAATCAATAGTAGATTCAATGTTTAAATCCCAGATGTAATTATACTCGGTGCCATTTGAACCATCAAAAATAAAACATTTCTTGAGATTTTCATCCAGGTACTTATGACATTACTGTAATAAACTAATAAGAGTGAACTAAGTTGACTTCTTAAATATTTTCTATTACAAATATTGGTCTAATAAAAACATTAAAATGGCACAGTAGAATTAGTGATTTATAGTGATAGAGAAATAAGACACATGATACTAGAGATTGCTAATTATGACGTAGTATGTCAAATCCAAGACACACCCTATTCTCATAGATACTAAAACCTGAAAAAGATTTACCATATTTACTTAAATGTAATATACACTATCATTTCTTGACTTTAATCTAACAGCATTTAAGTGAGAAAAAGATAAGCACGTCAATTCCCATTGTTGTTGTTACTATTATTTTTTTTATAAAATAATATTTTATACAAATTAAATGTAGCATTTTTTCACTACGTTTGTGTCTAATAGACAAACCAGCTCATCTCCTAATCTCTATTATATCATAAATTTCATATCAACATCTAGAAATTTGATTCTTTTGAAACTTGTATCCTGAATTGTAATTACCCTTGCTTTTGTCTTTTAAGTTTCAATTATATAATAAATAGGTAAATAACACACTAGGTCAATAGTAATGTTTACAATTTATAGTATTGATTGAGTCAGTACATATTAGGTTACTGTGGTAACATTATCCTGTTTTTATATGTAAAAGTTACTACTGTAATTTGTAAACCAATCTGTTACAACTTAGTTACAAAAAAAAATCAATAATGATATATTAAGAAAAAAGAGTAAGCACCATATCTTACATAGAAACAATACAGAAAATGATAATTTTATGTAATTATTGCCAAAATATAAGAATCTATATTTGACATANATATATATATTATACAGTATACATTTTCATCGATGTGGGTTTAGTTTCTTTATTACTAATGGTTTAATTTCTAACAGTTTAATTACAATTTTTAAATTGATTTTTATAGCAAACGTATGAATTATGCAGATTAAGCTCATTAATTATTTATTACCCTTAGTGTACAGTATTTTAATTTGAAAGCAAAATATAATTATAGAAATAGTAATTTTAAATAAATAAGTATGCTTTTCCAAAAATGAGTTAAAATCTTTATCAATAAAGTTTCTACTTTATATATAAGTAGAATTTTACGCAATTACTTTTCATTTATATATTTATATGCGTATTAATTGTTTAGTAACTTGTTTATTTATCACCATACATGCTACATTTGGAAAACGAAAAATTATATTAGTTAACGAAACACATTAGTAGACAATTTTTTAAACTTAATTTTAGGTCAGAAATTGTTTTTGAAAGTAAACAAGTTTGTTTTTATCTTTGTTTTCTTTTAGTTTTTATTATATCCTTGACTCGAATTTTACACATAAAGATAATTGAGTTCTGTAAAGTAAGAAATAAAATAACATAATATATTAATTTTTAAAATAGAAATCTCATTTAATTCATATTTGATTTAAAATATTGCTAATGCTAAATTTAAACAATAAATAGCTTAACATTTTAAAAATGATTTTTATCATATATTGTACACAACTATAATTGATTGATTCTATATGATTTTCAAAATAATTGCTTAATTTTTTTTATTTTTTATTTTATATTTTATATTCTTACATCAGGCACTATCTCAAAGCATGTAAGACCAAATAATACAACAATGCACTATTAAAACAAAAAAAAAAGTAATTTGAGTGATTTTCATAAAATAATTACATTAGATTATCAGGAAATTAGTTTAAATTCGCCTGAATTAAATTGATAAGTAGTAAAGTCTACTATTTTTGAAGTAAAATAGCAAAATATAGAAAAATGAAACAGAAAATTGATATAGGCTATTAGAAGCGTTAGAATAAATCTTCCTGAATAAAACGAGAATCGAAATTTTTCTTGCTTACTAAAGGAAAATCCTAGAGGCAGTCATTTATCATGCGATTTATGGCTTTTATTTTTACGAAATGTCAATGGTTGAAGGAAAAAAAACAAGCTTATAACGAACTTAAATTTACTTAGAAAACGTAAATGAGAAAATAAATTAAATATATAAATTTTTAAATTGTGATTTTGAAAAGGAAATTTCAGCTTAAAACGAATTTAATAACCTATTTTTTTTAAAAAATAGTATTTATAAAATCAAATTGAGACGGTAGCGAAATATTTATTATTCATATCTATCGGCATTTAGAAATTCGATTTCTTCGAGCAAACTTAATTGAGATCCTAAAAGAAAATTTAGTTTTAATATTCTATCTTATTTTATTTTTAAATGGAAAGTGTAGTTTCGTAATATGTAATTTTATTAAATAAAAATATAAGGCTGCTGTGCTGAATTTTATATTAAAAGAAAAATTCTTCTTATGTTTCTGCTTCAAGGAAAAGATTTATATACATTTAGAATTGCAACTCCACTTTGGGGAATCAAGATAAATTATCGAAATCATTATAATGATAGACTTGAAACGTTATAGTAAGAAATGAATAATAAATTGCTATTTTTCTTATTATTATTCTAGTCCACATATTTATAGAATTATAACTTCTGAATTGAATAATGAAAAATTACTTTGATTAAAAGTTTTGAAACATAATTCACAAACTATTAAATAATTTTAAACAGTAGACTCGAAATGAGTTGAAGAATATATTATTAGATTATAAATTTAAATTATCCAATAATACAGTAATGTTTATAATATTGAAAAATTGATTTCTGGTCACTAATTGTAGTTGTTAACTTAAGTATTTGAACATTCGTCTCTTTCATTAATGAATTACTGGTGTTGTATGCTTTCAAGAATTATATACGTCTGTAAATAATACAGAATACAGTGTAAAGAATATACAAAAAAAAAAAAGAGATTACTGTAAACTTATGAAATATATTTTTATAATAATTGGGTGCAGTTTTCAGATTGCAGACAGATACATTCTCACTGTCGTCCGTCTGTCTCTGTCTTTTCTTAATCTCCAGAACGGAGTTAGATGAAAATCGAGACCAGATATAGAAAGCTTAGGGGTCGGAGCTCGATTAATTATATTTTAAATTAAAAGATGATTAGAAATTGTAGTCCGGCATTGGGACGATATCACAATAATATACATTCTTTTTTTAATAATGCCCCTAAATTTAGGACGAAGGATAGTTATATACAAATTATTTTTTTGTATAAAAACGAATGTTATCGAAAAATTCAAATCTAAAATTTTTTCGTGAATATAAATGTTGTCTTCTTTATAAAATTTGGAAGATTT